CATGACACAATGGTTTTATCATGAAACTTTGTTCGAGAAGAAACTGAAAGAGGAACATAAATATTAACAAGCATTAAAACTTGTTTAAAGTACCTCTGGGCCCTAATTCATTAAATCGGTAAATGTTGATTAGAAAGGGACCCTCTGATATTTTGCTCTGTCTCAAAGAACTAAAATAATCAAAATTAAAATAAATAATAGAAATGCAGTAAAAAAGTTCGGTAACCATTATTATTGTCAGATCGGGTTTGTTCTCCGTGACCTAGTGTCTGTGGTAAACACTGCCAACATGCCACTAGTGAGTGAAAGATGGGTTTTGCGCCACTTTTAGCAACATTCAAGCAATATCACGGGGTACACCAGAAATGGGCTTCACATATTGTACCCATGTGGGGAATCGAACTCCAGCCTTCGGCTCGACGAGCGAAACTTTAACCACTAGGCTACCCCACCATCTATCATGTCATGAAATAGTCTTGAAGGTATTATCAGTTTAGACCCATTTCATCTCACCCCACCTCATGTCAACAATATCAACAAAACAATTCATTCTAACACACAGCACATGAATAAACATTTTTGAACACATAATTCTCTTCCTCTATACATACTGTATATCATAACAGCAAGGCCCAAATGCTACACACAAATAAGGATTCATCTGCATGCTCCTGCGAGTATTCTTAACAAGACATTTTACAATTTAGAGCTAAAATCTTAGCTTGTACACAACATGAAACAATCGTAGAGACGAGCCAAAGAAATATTCGATGTGTTTCTTGAAAATGGCAATATGTAACATGCGCTGAGACATTGTTAGCGAAACTCTTGAACACACATTGTTTTGGTATATAAAACACTAGCTGCAGCTATAAAGAGATTCATATCACTTCAAACAGAATAAAAGAATCCAGCATTCCAAGTGAAATGTTCATGACAATCTGCTGCAGACATGGTATTATTCACATATCACAGTGTGGCCTTTCACAGAAACAGCTGCACACTTAGACCAGAGACTCTTATACTTGCTTAAGACACTTCACGCCAAGACACATACAAAGTTCATACATCCAGCATCAGGGCAAGCACCTGCCCTGGACCTGAGGTCTGTAGTGTAGCAGAGAACTCACCTATCTTGCTTCGTGGTGTCTGATAAAAAATATAATCCATGCAGTTATCTCCCTCTTCCTGACCTAAATCTGCGTGGCATTAATATATCTCTTCATTCTGTTATTTTAGCTGCAGATGGCGCCAACAGTCATCATCATGGCATCACTTGTCTGTCAGCTTCTAAAAGGCGACATTGCTAATCTGCAACTAAGACATGTTCTATATTTGGCCCCAAGCTGATTGTCATCACTGGAAGGTGAAAAGATCCCTGTTACCACGGTAACCCCTGCATAGCTGGATGAAGAAACCTAAATTCTAATGGCATCGTATATGGCACTTGTGTTGGAGACCGGGGAGTGCTGAAGAAGCAGTGTAGGTAATATTGCTGTGATAGATACCAGCTGGAGTATAACTCCTCCCACCGGCATTAAAAGTAGGAGTCATGAATCCTTGCTGCTTCTTTCACAATGGAATCTTGGTTGCCATAGAGACGAGTGTAGGGGGATATTTCTCTCCAAGCATTTTTCTCTCTGGAACAAAAAAATTCCATGGCATTAATATTTACGTTTCCGTTCACTGGTCACCTTATTCATATAGGTAGTGTTGGATCTAAGTAGGCATCCAAATTACTATTTGCTTCCAAAGCAGATGCAGCTTTAGATTCTGGAGCTTCTGATTGGCTGAATTACCCTTCAACAGCATTTCTCACAGCCACTAAAGTCATATTTTGTATCCTCACCATAAATAACCAATCACCATGACAACCATGTATTCTGACAACAACTCACCACAGGGATCCTGTCGTCCAGTGTGTCGCTGAGTTCATAGTGGAAGTTCCACACTTCCGCTTCCCTCCAGGCATTGTCGGTGTTGGAGGGGTCATCGATGTAGCCGCGGTACAGGATCTGCGCACTGAAGCCTTTAGCTGCAGCGTTCATCTGTGCCAGGTTGTACCGTGTCTGAGTTGAGGTGGACATTGCAAACTCAGCAAAGAACTGCAAGATAAGGATGTTTTACTAACACAGAACAGTCAACAACATCACATGCCAGGTCAAAGCCAGGATACAGTCAGTGAATGATAGTCAACATATTAGGAAGTTCTGTTAAACTCAAAATGATTCCATATGACATTACATGCCTATGTGACAACATTGAACGAGACAATAGATGTATGTGCAAAAACATTTCTTCCTTAGCTGACTACAGATGGTGCAACCCATTCAGACACTTAGATCACAAAAGATTCCCTTGTCACAAGCAAAGCACTATGGATACAAGGTGAATTCAGTACACAGGTGATGAATGTTTAAGCAGATACCATGTGGACAAATATGAGGTGCTGACCAGGAACAGGGGGAACATCTGAACATGTCGCAACCTCACAGTACTTATCACATCCTCCTCATTAAACCACCTGATATTCTTCACATAAGCACCATCCATACAATGGAATGGGTATCTGGCCTTAAATGGCTGGAGTGTGAACATGACGTAACCTAACAGTACTTACGCTGATCACATCTTCCTCATTGAACCACTGATATTCTTCATATAAGCACCATCCATACAATGGAATGGGTATCTGGTCTTAAATGGCTGGAGTGTGAACATGTCGTAACCTAACAGTACTTACGCTGATCACATCTTCCTCATTGAACCACTGATATTCTTCATATAAGCACCATCCACACAATGGAATGGGTATCTGGCCTTAAATGGCTGAAGTGTGAACATGTCGTAACCTAACAGTACTTACGCTGATCATATTTTCCTCACTGAACCGCTGACATTCTTCTGCATCTTCTGTGTTGAGAACTCCCTTCATAAACTCCTCACACATCACGCCATAGGAAGTGGTCTTGCCGTACACGTTACCCTGGAAACATGAAGTCACATGACAATAACCAATAGCCAATCACTGCACCACACTACAAGCCTTCTTGTAGGATGATGTATTTGTTCACACAGGTGAGTAAGTCTTTGTTCTACTGTTAGTCTTTGTTCGTCCTCATGGTTTGGTAGACTGTCAGTTTTACCTGAAGTCATGGCGATGCATACTATAGAAATGATACCTAAAAGTATGATCTGCTGTGTCAGTCTTTGTTCACCTGATAAAGTAGCACTGATGTTAAAGTTCCAAATGTCCATCCAAGGCAAGTGTGTGAGTTGTGATACTGACCAAAGAAATCATGTGTAGGGTGATGATACATGGACAGTCATTGTTGGAACATGATCCGTAAGATACTACTTTCTGTTTGAATGGTTCTCAAGCAGTGGTTACAATATTTGAAATTGGGCTGACACTGTTTAGAACAGTCCTTCAATAACATCATGGCAGCAGATTCAAGGTGAGAACAGTCAAGACGACTGGTTGAAAAAGGGAGATCAGGTGGTCTGACTCAGTGCCTACGCTGTGTGTCCCTGCATCAAAGCCATGTCCTGTTCAGAACACATCTCTACCAATTACAGCCATTATTATATAGCTTGAATATTGCACACTGTAGCATACAACAAACAGCAAACTTTTAATCACAGGTACTTACACCTGGCAGAGTTAGCTCCCCTGTATCCGGCCTGGGGACCACTATAAACTCCAGGACCCGCTTCCCCTCCACGATGATGTGGTCCATAGGGTAGCCTAGTGCCGAGTACTTCCGCTTCCACCGTGTGACGACAGCCGCGATACGATGGTTGGGACCCCACCTCCACAACTTTCCCCGCCCACGGATACCTGTCCTTCCCAGGGGGTTCCTGAAGCATGTATCTCCACAATCAGAAATTGTACCAGGGAAACGTCTAAACTCCTTTTGTAACTTTCTCTGTGAACTCCTCTGTAGTTACTCAGTTTAATCATAATTAAATGTTAATGCTACTTAATGCTACAAAACCAGGTTGTGTCAGTCTAAGCTTATGCAAATTTAATGACCAGCCAATGAAATGACTAACAATAAGTCAACATGAGCTAATAAGAAGCAGCTTTTTCAAGCTTTACGGCACTAGTTTCAAACTGGCAACTTCGATTCCAGATAACACTTTGAAAATATCTTCACAAAGTTCTCAACTCAAAATCTGAAAAATGAACAAAACAGATATTGTGGAACATCTAATAGATGAGGTTTCTTCCGTTTAAAATGTGTCTCCCACTGAAGCAAGTGAGACAATCATTCTGGTGGAATTAGTCGTCCACTGTTATACAGAATACTTAATGTTAACCTTTACATGATTAGAAAACACAATCTGATTATCACTTCCTGATTCTGGTAGCTATGCCCTCAGTTGTTGGACCAAAGTTTGTGAGTCAGTTTAGTTTTATGCTGAACTCAGCAATATTCCCGCTATATGGCTGCGGTCTGTAAATAATCCAGTCTGGGCCAGACAATCCAGTTATAAACAGCATGAGCATCGATCTATACAATTGGGATATGATGGCATGTGTCAACCAAGTCGGCGAGTCTGACCACGCGATCCCGTTACTCGCCTCTTACGACAAGCATGGGTTGCTGGAGGCCAATTCTAACCCAGATCTTCACTGGTCCCAAAGTTTGTTCTGAGGTGATGTAAGATAGGATCATGACGAGATTGAATGACACTTGGAACAATAACATGACATGACAAGACGAGTGTTGTAGTGACATAAGCAGGTATGAGGCTGTAGTAATATGATTATTATTGCTTTGTGCCCAGATCCCGCCCTAAGACTCAGCCAGACAACTCACTGTGGAAGGTCGGTTGTGTCCAACTTATATCTCAGTGGCTGGTTGTCGAACGTGATCCATGACGTACGATCCACATCAACACTAACACTGCCAACCTTCTCAATGAACACGGTGTTCCACATGGGACTGAAGTCAGGCAAGGGAGGCAACTTCTCCACTTCCTCAGGACTCATCTTCTGTCGGGCCTGTTCCTCATGGCGGAGTCTGGAAATGAAGTTATAATAGGTTGTGAGGTTCTTGATGAAGTTATTGGTTGTGAGGTCGTGGATGAAGTTATTGGTTGTGAGGTCGTGGATGAAGTTATTGGTTGTGAGGTCGTGGATGAAGTTATTGGTTGTGAGGTCGTGGATGAAGTTATTGGTTGTGAGGTCGTGGATGAAGTTATTGGTTGTGAGGTCGTGGATGAAGTTATTGGTTGTGAGGTCGTGGATGAAGTTATTGGTTGTGAGGTCGTGGATGAAGTTATTGGTTGTGAGGTCGTGGATGAAGTTATTGGTTGTGAGGTCGTGGATGAAGTTATTGGTTGTGAGGTCGTGGATGAAGTTATTGGTTGTGAGGTGACAAAGGCATTATCGCAAAAGAGGTTCAGTTTGCTATTTGGTATTACATCATGGATCTTGGCACCCATTGGATAAGATGCATAAAAGATTTTAGTTAGTTGGTTTGTTGTTTAATGCCACACTGAACAATATTCCAGCTAAATGGCAGCGGCCTGTAAATATTTAAGTCTGGACCAGACAATCCAGTGATCAACATCACAAGCATCGATCTATACAATTGGCATACAATGACGTGTGTCCACCAAGTCAGTGAGTCTGACCACCCAATCCCGTTAGTCGCCTTTTACGATAAGCATGGGTTATGGAAGACCACTTCACGGGTCAGATATGTTTTAAACACATCCAGTTATATAATGGGGCTGTGGGGTAGCCTAGTGGTTAAAGCGTTGGCTCATCACGCCGAAGACCCGGGTTCGAATCCCCACATGGGTACAATGTGTGAAGCCCATTTCTGGTGTTCCCCACCGTGATGTTGCTGGAATATTGCTAAAAGCGGCATAAAACCAAACACAGTCAGTCAGTCAGTTATATAATGAGTAATGAGTTCATTATCTTTGGTTGGTCATTTTAGTTGTTTTACCCCCTCCCGTCAGCATTTTCACAGCAACATCACAGCAGCCTGTAAATAATTGTGTCTGGCCAAACAAGTGGTCGATAATATGAGCAGCATTCCATGCCTGACATGCAACAGGCCTCCTCACCAAGTCACACAACTGAATCTCTTGTATACACACTTCAACAGCATCTGTGCTGCCAACATACTTACTCCATGATGTCGAGGGTCAACAAAGTCGCGTGCTTCTTCTGTTGAAGTCCTCCAGGAGCCTGGTCATGTAGGTCGTAGGATATCGCAACCATTATGCAACCTGTAACGGACAACACAGTTCATAGATATCACATTATATACAAAGGGTGCAATAAACCAATTGTCATCTGGGGTTCAGAGTCGGAACCAACTGTTCAAGGCATGTGTGAAGCATAACTACTGATAAAGCATGACTGTTGGAATGGACTATACACTCTTAACACTGAATGTTTGTACAGTATTGCCTGCGAGATGGCGGCTTGACTTTGCTGAGTGGAGCTTTTAGCAATAATTATGTGCGCTCACTCCTTTCGTCTAAGTAAAGATGGAAGCACACAGGTTGCAATTTCTTGCAGCTGAGTGAGAGAGAATAAGTTGGGTTTAACGTCACTTTGGTGAAACCAATGAGCCCGGGGCTGACAAACCTTGTAACAGGCAAACAAGGGTCAGCATAAGGGGAAAAGGTTCCGCATCTGAGAGTACCTCGGGACAATAAGCTGATGTTACACAGGACATTTAAAAGATAAACAAATATTATCAAGGTAGGTCAAATCTCGATGAATTAGGATATGTCGTGTCGCCGAATATTATGCATACTTCGAAGTACCTGTCGGTCCCGACCATTCCCTGTTATAGTTGATTATTTGAATACTGGTTACACGAATTCATCTCATAAATACACACGATGACTCGAGAAGGAAATTTGGTCCCATGAGATTCAAACAACAGCAATCTTGTATACATAAGCCGAAGTCAGTCAATGAGAAGTTGATTGGTGTAGCAAACTGATCCAATTAACAAACTTATTGTAAGTCTATATGGAACATTGGCAGTATTAATGCTATTAGTGAAGGAACAGACCTTGACTATTTTATTTCAGTATCTAATAGTTTTCCCATCCCTTGTGTAGTTGTGACTCACCTCCCAGGGAACATATTTATCGAAGACAGGGAAGCGTTGTGTGAGTGTCCCTGGGTAGGGCGACTGGCGGGATGAGACATGCACGAGCTGCTGCACTGGCTTCAGGCCCTGGCTCTTCGGGTCTGTGATAACACAGCAGGTCAGTCAGTTAAGTATTAACAAATATACCTCCCTCTTTATCAATCTCAGCATGTAATTCTGTATCATATTCTGAATCAGGAATACACAGACTATGTATAACACATGTCTAGATTCTGCATTACAAATACCAAGGTTCTGCACTACACATACCCATGTTCTGCATCACACATACAGAGGTTCTGTATTACATATACTAAGGTTCTGCATCACACATAACCAGGTTCTGCATCACACATACCCAACTTCTGCATCACACATACCCAACTTCTGCATCACACATACAGAGGTTCTGTATTACATATACTAAGGTTCTGCATCACACATAACCAGGTTATGTATCTCACATACCAAGGTTCTGCAGTATGCATGAAGAGGTTAAGTATCATGCATACCAGGGTTATGTATCATACATGCCCGGTCTCTGCATTATGCAGACCCTAGTTCTGCATTATGTATACCCAGTTTCCACATATATGCATATCAGGTTGTATCACACATACCCATGTATCACGCATTCCGTCTCTTTCATGCACACCATGGTTCTGCATATACCAGGTTCTGTATCATGCATACACAGTCTGCATTATGTACACACTAATTATGCATTATGCATACTCATGTTCTGCAAAATGCATACCAGGTTCTGTAATTCACATACCTATGTATCATACATACCTAGTTTCTGCATTATGCATACCCAAGTAATGTATCACATATATACCAAAATTATGCATTCTACATAGCCATGTTTTACATCACACATACCCAGGTTCTGTATCATATGCTTCATCTCCTCCAGAAGCAGCCGACACACAGTGACACTCTTCTCCACATGGACCACACGGTCGTTCATTCTCGATGGTTGTCCTTTTAGTTGCATGTCAATCAATCAGAGCGAGACATGCTGGGACAAACAAACACAGCAGGGGTTGAATGCATCAATCCACACAATTGTCCCAACCTTTCTATCTACTCTAAAGAACTCTACCAATGAACATCCACATGTGTCCTTCCAATACCCCCCAAATGTTCTTACCCAAACCCTCTCAGTTGACCTGTCTGTTCACATTCCCTCACCTGCCCCAACTCTTCTCATCTGCCTCAACCATGTACCTGCCCAACCCCTCCACATGCCCCCATCTCCTGTTCCATCCCTTCAGTTGCCTTGCCCCTACACATAACCAAACCCAATTCCTCCTGATTCACCCTTGCAATAGCCCCACCCCAACAACTGTCCCAGTGCTGAACCTGACCCAGCCAGTCCCCTGCTCTACCACCCAAACCACTAGTCTCTATAACTGGCCGACCCCTGGGACTGTCCCATTCTTTCAAATGACCCATCCAAACTCCTGCTCCACCCCCACAACTGCCCAATACCAGACCCTCCCTGCACCTGCCCTACCCCCCTCACCTGTCACTCTGTTCCTTGTTCCTCTGTTTTTCTATCAGATTCTGCTCCTCTTCGTTATTGAAGGTCTGCAGACAACTCTTCCAGTAGTTGAAGTCCACTGTCCGCCTCACCTTCATGATCTGGACCTTCTTCATGCCGTCCTAGAGGATGAGAACACCCCGTGTAAATGTTGTAACATCTGTCACTTGTTCTCCACACCGGCACTTCTGAATATAGTCTACAGATCATTACTCATGGGGATAACACAAGGCAGATATGTTTCAGAAGTGACCTTGATAGACTAAGACCTTGATATGGCTGTGGTGTTTAGCATCATGTCTATCTGTCTTCATGTCTGTCCACATGTCTATCTGTCTTCATGTCTGTCTGTCTTCATGTTGTCATGTCTGTCCACATGTCTGGCTGTCTTCATGGCTGTCCACATGTCTATCTGTCCACATGTCTGTCTGTCTACATGTCTGGCTGTCTACATGTCTGTCTGTCTACATGTCTATCTGTTGTCATGTCTGTCCACATGTCTATCTGTCTTCATGTCTGTCTTCATGTCTGGCTGTCTACACGTCTGGCTGTCTACATGTCTATCTGTTGTTATGTCTGTCCACATGTCTATCTGTCTTCATGGCTGTCTTCATGTCTGTCTGTCTACATGTCTGTCTGTCTACATGTCTATCTGTTGTCATGTCTGTCCACGTGTCTATCTGTCTTCATGTCTGTCTGTCTACATGTCTGTCTGTCTACATGTCTATCTGTTGTCATGTCTGTCTACATGTCTATCTGTCTTCATGTCTGTCTGTCTTCATGTCTGTCCACATGGCTATCTGTCTTCATGTCTGTCTGTCTTCATGTCTGTCCACATGTCTATCTGTCTTCATGTCTGTCTGTCTTCATTTCTGTCCACATGTCTATCTGTCTTCATGTCTGTCTTCATGTCTGTCTGTCTACATGTCATGTCTGTCTACATGTCTATCTGTCTTCATGGCTGTCTTCATGTCTGTCTGTCTACATGTCTATCTGTTGTCATGTCTGTCCACGTGTCTATCTGTCTTCATGTTTGTCTTCATGTTTGTCTGTCTACATGTCTGTCTGTCTACATGTCTATCTGTTGTCATGTCTGTCTACATGTCTATCTGTCTTCATGTCTGTCTGTCTTCATGTCTGTCTACATGTCTATCTGTCTTCATGTCTGTCTGTCTTCATGTCTGTCCACATGTCTATCTGTCTTCATGTCTGTCTGTCTTCATTTCTGTCCACATGTCTATCTGTCTTCATGTCTGTCTGTCTACATGTCATGTCTGTCCACATGTCTATCTGTCTTCATGGCTGTCTTCATGTCTGTCTGTCTACATGTCCATCTGTTGTCATGTCTGTCCACATGTCTATCTGTCTTCATGTCTGTCTTCATGTCTGTCTGTCTACATGTCTGTCTGTCTACATGTCTATCTGTTGTCATGTCTGTCTACATGTCTATCTGTCCACATGCTCATCTTTTGCTGTCATGTTGTCATGTCTCTGTCTTCATGTCTGTCTACATGTCTATGTCTTCGTTGTCTGTCCTCCATGTCTTGATATCTGTCTGTCTTCATGTCTGTCCACATGTCTATCTGTCTTCATGTCTGTCTGTCTTCATTTCTGTCCATGTTCATTCAGTTGTCTTCATGTCTGTCTATTTGTCTGTCTTCATGCTGTGTTCATGTCTGTCTTCATGTCTGTCTTCATGTCTGTCTGTCACATGTCTTCGTCTGTCCTTTCATGCCTGTTCACATGTCTATCTCGTCTTCATGTCTGTCTGTCTTCATGTCTGTCTTCATGTCATGTCTTCATGTCTGTCTGTCACATTCATGTCATGTCTGTCCACATGTCTGTTGTATTCATCTATTGTTCATGTCTACATGTCTATCTGTCTTCTGTCTGTTCATGTCTGTCCACATGTCTGTCTGTCTGTTCGTCTGTTCATTTCTGTCTACATGTCTATCTGTGTCCATGTCTGTCTGTCTTCATGTCTGTCTTCTTGTCTGTCTTCATGTCTGTCTTCATGTCTGTCTTCATGTCTGTCTGTCTACATGTCTGTCTGTCTTCATGTCTGTCCACATGTCTATCTGTCTTCATGTCTGTCTGTCTTCATGTCTGTCTGTCTTCATGTCTGTCTGTCTACATGTCTGTCTGTCCACATGTCTATCTGTTGTCATGTCTGTCCACATGTCTGGCTGTCTTCATGGCTGTCTTCATGTCTGTCTACATGTCTATCTGTCTTCATGTCTGTCTGTCTTCATGTCTGTCTTCATGTCTGTCGTCATGTCTGTCTGTCTTCATGTCTGTCCACATGTCTATCTGTCTTCATGTCTGTCTGTCTTCATGTCTGTCTTCATGTCTGTCGTCATGTCTGTCCACATGTCTGTCTGTCTTCATGTCTGTCCACATGTCTATCTGTCTGTGTCAGTGTTTGAGCCGACCAGTCCTGGTTTTCCTCCATTACAGACAAGATTCAGGCAGGTTAACAACAAGTAACATTTCCCGACAACTTTTCGGCAGACGTTCTATCCACGAGATGGAGGTGATCTGATATCCTGACAACTGATGACTGTACGACACATTACCTTCATGTCCTTCTTGACACACTTGCAGCAAGCGCGGCATCGGTAGTACAGCTGCTTCAACTTCCTCCACACCACCGACAGGAACATGCACATGTAGCTGATCAGTGTCAGCGGTGGTGGTAGGCGTAGACGCTCGTCAAAGTCCACGATAATGGTGTAGCGTTGGTACTTCCATATCTCCTCTGCTTCATTGCTGATTCGGGCGTTTGTGTCACTGGGGTTCAAAATAGAAACTACATGTTAGAAGTTCACAAAATATGCTTTAGAACAATTTTCCTTTTGTACATTTTGCTAACAATGTTACATTGAATTTAAAAACATACCTATATTATAATAACTTACAAATCAAAATACCTACCTGTGACTAAAAAGCTGTTTTGATTACCTCAGTAGTATAAACAAGTATGCCTTTATAAATCTAAATGTAGATTTCTAAAAAAAAAAAATTGTTGATATCTGGAAACATATATTTAGTATGTTTAAATCTACAGGTAAGTTTACCTGCTATATGATCACAGCTTGTAAGCATCTCAAAAGTAACAGCACTACCAGAAAACTACCTGAACATAGCATAGAGCAGGGTGATGAGGACCAGCTTGGTGATGAGGAGGTACTGGATCACGATTGCATAGCCCCCTAGGCTGCTGTAAGGGCACCGGTTCAATTTGTCATTAGCTGCAACACAAGACAACACCTGTCACTAGCTGCAACACAAAAAATCACCTGTCATTAGCTCCCACACAAAACATTGCCTGTCATTAGCTGCAACACAAAACATCACCTGTCATTAGTTGCAACACAAGACAACACCTGTCACTAACTGCAACACCAAACATCACCTGTCATTAGTTTCAACACAAAACATCGCCTGTCATTAGCTGCAACACCAAACATCACCTGTCATTAGTTTCAACACAAAACATCACCTGTCATTAGTTGCAACACCAAACATCACCTGTCATTAGTTGCAACACAAAACATCACCTGTCATTAGCTGCAACACAAAACATCACCTGTCATTAGCTGCAACACAAAACAACACCTGTCATTAGCTGCAACACAAAACATCACCTGTCATTAGCTGCAACACAAAACATCACCTGTCATTAGTTGCAACAGAAAACATCACCTGTCATTAGCTGCAACACAAAACAACACCTGTCATTAGCTGCAACACAAAACATCACCTGTCATTAGCTGTAACACACAACAGTTAATGTCTAAGGATGTAGTTATTTATTTTTGGAAATCACAATATTCATCATTTCAAAATTACAGGAACAACATCTATTTCCACAAACTGGAATTGTTATGTAATGATCCAATTATCGCAATTACCCAAACTGAACACTTTCTTCAATAATGTAATTTTTAGAGTAAAATTGATATTTTATACTTATCCTGACTCATGCTCTTTTGCTTGTCTTCTTCTTCTTGCGAACATAGTGGAAACACTTGTATCTCCTTAATTGAAGCTCCCTTCAATGTAAAATCACTAATAGTACTCACCACGAGTTGCTCCCCTTTAATCCCTTTTGGCGGGAAAGGTGTCTCCACCTTACACCTCGTGCTTCACTCTCTCCTGATTTTGCGAGCCCAACACTTGAATTTACAGGGAAATCCAAAGTGTTATGTGGGGAGGATGGGAGGGCTGACCTCATGAGTCAGGATAAGTATAAAATATCAATTTTACTCTAAAATTACATATTTTTCCTTATCCTGACTCATCTCTTGTTTGTAGAATCCTCTACTGAACGGAGGAGGAGTAATAGAATACTTTGGATTTATAATTAGTGATTTTGTATAAATATAACTGTAATAACTGGTATGGGAACTTCATGAAGGCATTGACTTAGGATATTTCCTGTATATAAACCATAGGTTATATAATGCCATAATTAGGTATTACATTGATATATATTGAAAAACCATTACATATATTATATATATATATAAGTGACTCTGATAGAAGTAAGCTGTACAACTAAAGATAATATCCATATATACTTAGGGGTGAATGACCTAAGCTAAATATATATACATAGCTCTAGAACTCCTTAGAGTTATAAGCTAGCTAAATTATGTATATAATACATACTAAACTTGTGATGGTAATATTTTAACGCCTACGAGGGACTGTCAGCTGTTGAGCGAGGACCAAAGGGCCGAAATGGTGAATGCCAGAGACATCTTCTGTGGTGATGTCTCTCAGGTAGTGATTCGCAAACACCATGTTCGATTTCCAAAAGCATCCTTCCATAATTGTGTTCAATGAACAATTACCGTGCAGGGCGAGGGTGGAAGCCAGTGCCCTAATCTCATGCGGAGTTGATGCTGTTGGTGGGTCCAAGCCTGCTGCCTTGACTTCTGTTTGATTCGTTGGCGATAAGGGGATGAATAATCTTTTGAGAAATCTTCGCCTTGTTTTGGATCGTCGTAAGTAAACTTTGAGAGCTCTGACTGGACACAGTGATAAGTCTTGTGTATCTTGTGATCCGAGAATCGAAGATAGCGCTGGTACATGGAATAACCTGTCTGGTTGACCTGGTAGTTGATTTTTTGCGATGAAATCCCATCTTAATCCCAGGTGCGCAATGTTTTGATTGTCATCAAACTGTATCGTCTCGTAATCCAGAGCGTGAATTTCAGATATTCTTGCTGCCGTGGCTAGAGATAGCAGAAATAGAGTTTTCTGTGAGAGAAATTCAAAGTTTGTCGATTCCAAAGGTTCATAGGCCTCACTAGTGAGGTGTTGTAACACTACATTCAGATCCCAAGCTGGAAGTGGAACTTCGCTTTTGGTCCTCAATCGGGAAAGCGCGTGTAGTAAGGCCAGTAACTCTGGAGATTTTGTCAGCTTGACACCCGTTCTCATAGTGATCACAGAGCTAAGAGCGGCAAGATATGTTGATATCGTCGAACCTCTTAAATGTTTGTTTTGCCGCAGGTAACACAAATAGTCTGCCACTTGAGGATGTGAAGCATCTCTCGCTGTAAATCCTTTATTAGCTGCATAATTTTGAGAAACTGTGCCACTTGTCGATTAGGTACAAGTTACGAGTCGAGTGTCGTAAGGCAAGCGTGACCGCTTTTGCCGCCCTGGCAGAATATCCTCTCTTGTTTAAACACATTTGTATACAGTCCATACGTGAAGTTGGTAAACTTCTGGGTTTCCGTGCACTTGTTTTGTGTGTGGATGTATTAACAGGTTTTGGCTTGGGTAGCTCTAATACTGGTTGACCGATTTCTTGAATTAGCATGGGAAACCATACTCTGGCTGGCCAGTAGAGTAGCGACCAAAGTGAGTTGTAGATTCTGTGTTTGTTTGATTTTCTGTAATACTTGAGGTATTATTGCTGGCGGAAGCAGCGTGCAGCGTTGAGGCCTTCCATGATATACTTAGGCGTCCGTTTCCCAAGCTTGTGGATCTGGGATTGGTGACCACGAATGTCGGTAGCTGATTGTTGAATCTTGTGGCGAATAGATCTATTAAGCGGCTGCTAGCGGCTTGATTATCTGTGCAAATATTTCCATTATTGAGCATCCACTCTGTCGGTGATGGTAGATGAGGCCGAGAGAAGCTGGCGTCTGCTAGTACATTTTTGGCTCGGGAATGTGAACTGCTCTGATCTGTAGATTTAGATCGTGGGTTAGATCGAATAGTTGAAAGCTTAAGTTCAAAAGGTTCAGTGATCTCGTTGAGCCTTGCTTGTTTACGTAGAAGCGCCACTGTGGAATTGTCGGTATGAATCATAAGGTCGCATTTTGTAGAAATGTGCTCCAATGTAGAATGGCGTTGATTACAGCTTTCATCTCTAGGATGTTTATATGGAGTTTGCTTTCTTGTTGGTTCCATAATCCGATGTCGTCTGGTTGGCGAGATGAGGCTCCCCAACCTTGAAGTGCAGCGTCCACATATAGATGGGTTTTGAATTCCTGCTCTGCTAAACAAATCCCTTCGCAGACATTCGATTTCTTTGTCCACCATAGTAGATGAGGTCTGAGATGTTTGGTAGACTGAATGGCTGTAAATCGTCGAGATGTGCATTGATGAAGACCTGTAAGGGGCGTAACTGTAACCTGCCTCTGACTGTCATGTCTTGGGCTGATGTGAGGAGACCTAGGAGGCTCTGCCATTGTCGAAGTGGTAGCGGAGGCGTAGAAGCTGGTGGAATGGTCTGTTGGATCTTGATCAACGGTCTTCTGTCTGACGATCACGGTTGAGATTTGTGATAAATCGAATGCCTAGGAACTGTAGGTCTTGTGGCGGTACTAGGTCCGACTTGAGTAAGTTTACTAACCATCCTAGCTGTGTTAGTAGCTTTATGATGTAGTTTAACTGTAGTTTGAGATGCTGTGGATCTTGATCTACTTGTATCCGTCGTCGAGGTAAAGCGCTCGCGTAGCCCTTGATGATGAAGATAGGTGATAATCGGTTTCGTTATCCTCATTGAAAAGCCAGGGGCTGATGATATTCGAATGGGAGCACTTTCCACTGGTAATGTTGCCCGTCTAAAGTAAACCGTAGGTATTTCCTGGCTTTGGAGTGTATCGGGATGTGCAGGTAAAGCGTCCTGTAGATCGATACTGCCCATGTAGTCCATGGGGCGAATCAACTGCCGTAACTGAGGTAAATGTATCATCGCGGAACTTGGGGGTTTCGTAGATAGTTCTTGTTGAAAAGCTCATGTTGTAGATGAGTCTGTATTTCTCCTTGGAGTTTTCTTGGGAACTAGGAAAACTGGGGGAGTAGAAACCTGGTTCTATGTTGTCTTGGTCTAGTACTTCTATGGCCTGCTTTATTAAGAGTGATGTAACAGCCTCTCTTAACCCGGTAGTTGTTGTGCCTGTAAGTCGAACTTGTGAGGGTTGACTGTCAGCGGAGGCTTGGCCTTTAGTGGGATCACGAAATCCGTGGCGAAGAATGTTGGAGACATAAGGGTCTTGTAACATTCCCCAGTTTTCCCAGTAAAAGTTGGGGCGTCCACCCACTTGAGATGGTTGTACTGGAGCGGCTGGGGGTGGAAGACTCAGTCGTTCGAACCTGTCTTTCAGCGTTTATAGTTGCGGGAACCTCTGGGTGTCCTGCCTCTTCCTGATCCTCCTCTATAGTTGCGAATGGCGTGACCGAAAGAATCTTTTCCTCTAGAGCTGGCTATCTTCCTGTCTCGTGCTCTCTGTAGGCCCGTGAATTTAGATCTTCCTGAGTATCTTTGAGAGGTCTGTCGGATGACGCTGGCTAGTGTGTCCATCGATTTAATCATCAGGACTTCTCTGGAATCCTTAGTGACTTCCTTGGAAACTTTGTCTATTTCTCCATTAAAGATGGATGTTGAAGACCACGGGGCTGTATACAGTGGGGCTGTAAAGTTCTCACCCCAGTTGCAGGAAGCGAGGAGGCCTTGACTGACGAGCTAAGGTCAATGCTGCTGAAATAGATGTAAGATGATCTGTTAGGAACTGCTGGTCTTTCTTTTGCATAAGTAAGGCAGAATAAATCATTCTATCATCCTCAGAAGTCAGTATCCACGAAATCTGGTGATAAGAGTCTCATTGATCGTTCTAGATCTATTTAAACCAAAAACATCACGTCTCGTCATGGTTTCTATCTGGACTAACTGCGATCATCAATCTTGTAATTCTTGTACTTGACATCGTTGATCAACTTATAGTTCTCATCGATGTCTTGAGCTGAAGAAGGGGTCCATGTTATGCGTGGAGAACTTCTTGGCATGAAAGTTAGGTAGATGTGGTGTCTGAACTTTTCGTGGCTTTGTGGAATGCTGCATCTAGATTCTGTGGAACTGCTGCAATCGAGATTCGTCGGTGGTAGTGTGATAGCATCTGCATCGTCTTCTTTCATCAGATATGTCTGCGCCACATTGCCATTTTTAGATGGTGATGAGAGATCTAGGTTATTGACCATCCAATACCGTATCTCAGCATCGGAGAAAATAACTCCTCCATCATCCTCTATACCATCATCATTGATGAGAGGTTGGTGCTGTTCTGGACTGCGTGCTTCTGTCTCTCGTCCGGCGATGCTTGTGCAGCTCTGTATGGTGACCTGTAAGGTGATCTCGTGGTGATGAGCGAGGAGGAGATCGTCTAGGTGATCGTCTATGGGTTGATCTTCTCGGTGACCTGTGAGGAGAGCGTTGATAGCGAAGCTCTTGTGTAGTCCCTCGATGTCCTTCTAGATGATGAAGATCTGGATTCAGCTGCCCCAGCGAATGCCTTGGCGAAGCTTCCTCTGCGTCGGTCGGGAATTACGATAAGACGCCAGCGAAGGCTTTTCGTGATGTCTGATGGTCGAGTCCACATCTTGGGATGAAGGTGGCGAGGGTGATGATCTATCCGCCAGCGAAGGCGAAGGCTGTACATCTAGGTCGCCGTGGAGGTGGTCCGTGCCTTCCTTCAGCGAAGGTGACATCGTCTTGGCTGCTACGTTTGGGGGTGCCTCTGGGGTGCTGTCACGTTGGAGCCTTAGCGAAAACTTCGGTCCTTGCTTCTGCAGTCTATATCGGTCTTCCATCATCGTCATAATTTGCTGCATCAGGTCATCAGGGATGGTCTGCGGCGATGTTGTCTGAGCCTTCTCTGCGGAGTTAATGATGGGGTCCACAGCAATAGCGTCTGACATCAGTGTAGAGGCATCAGGCTGCATGAAGATCTCTGCTGAAGTCACTGTCGCTGACACCGGCCGCTTCTTGTGCCGTATGTCGGGGATGATAATCGGCTGGTCATCGTAGAGGCCCATTTCTTCGGCTGGAGCGATCTCGGCTGAAAGTTCGCTGTCTTCGTAGACTTTCCTTTGGATGTCGGCGCTGCCCTGAAGTCACGAAGTCTGCGTTGAGAAGGCGTCGAGGCCCTCTTGGACTTTAGCTGCGATGGCCGGGATGTCTGGGGAGGCGGTAAGCTTCTTAGAGGTGGCGGACTGCGTCCCCGTCCCTCTTCCGATGGGGTCTCTAGCAGAACACCAGGCGGTAGAAGTCGATCGCCAGCAGCTGACTAGATGGAGTATCTGGAGTATCAGCCATATTTAGCCCTTGTTTGCGTGACCTATCTGCATGCGTCTTAAAGGCGCTTAAAGATAGTATTTATTAAATGCAGAATTAGATAAATCAATGCAATAACTGCAAGCGTGAATCAAGCGCGGCAGTAGAACAACTAGGGCATATTACATGCGGATCTGAGGCAGAAAAGCGTAATCTACAAATAGTACAGATTTTCATCAGCGTAATACTAGCTGAACAATCCGCGAATACCCGTGAATAAACAGTAGAAATCGATAAATAATCAATACAAATTACTGAAGGATACTAGCTATACCTCTATAGTACACTATAAGAAGTAATAAACTAAGAAAAATCAAAGGATATGTTGTGTAAGGAGACACAGGCTCTGCATCCTGCTCACTGGAAGAAGAAGGAGAGTGAAGCCGCGAGGTGTAAGGTGGCGACACCTTTCCGCCAAAGGGATTAAAGGGGAGCAACTCGTGGTGAGTACTATTAGTGATTTTACATTGAAGGGGCTTCAATTAAGGAGATACAAGTGTTTCCACTATGTTAGCAAGAAGAAGAAGACAAGCAAAGAGCATGAGTCAGGATAAGGAAAAATCCTGACAAAATAGTAATGTATAATTCAGTAATGGGGACTTATATTGCATATTTTATACAAATATGATGCTTATTTTGAGCTGTGGCTTGTATATTACAGGGCCAAGTTCAACAAAGCCATTTTTTACCTACAAAATTCAAAGTTACCCCTCAGTCTTTGTGAAACGTAGTTTATACATAGTTGCAACTATGTGTTTATGAAATGTCCCTATTACTACAGTGGACTTACCACTGCAAGCCTCTATCGTCTTGTTGTGGTACATGTAGTTGCAGTCCTCATCACCTGTAACAAGTATCGGGGAAATAGCATTTGTCTCAAGTTCACACAAAAAGTTCATGAGAAAGGTTCCAAATAGCAAGACATGCAAATGCTTTTGTCTGGAACAACATTCAAACAAATATTTAACTGAAAAAAATGACTGAACTTACATATAGACCGAAGATTATACATTACTGCAAATCTAACATGCAGATAAATATCAACATTGTTACCGGTATGCCAGAAGATAGGGACAAAGTGAATTTGGTTGATCATGTCACATGCAAAGAAGACCGAGGTTGCCATGACGACCACTGCTACCAAGTATCCATTGATACTGTACCTCTATATGTTACATCTAGATTGCAGAATCACGTTTTGAAACAACTATACTGAGTGTCTACCTTCCAGGTCATCTATCTTGGTGAGGAACATGGCGAAGAAAGCCCGAGCCAGGGCCTTCTTGATCCCTTCCTGTGTCAGTGGGTAGCTGGGGTACAGCACCGCATGGATCGTGATGCCCCCGGCCACCATCACAATTAGGAACATCCGCATCCACGTCATGAAGTCCTTCCGCACCTACATCAGAAACACGCAAGATGGACAAGATCTGGTGACAACGTCATACTCCCAATTCCAATTTCATGAAATTCTACATGTGTATCCCAATCACACCATGTTCCAAGCATGTCGACCACAGTAACTGAGCAAACAGAGAAGTCCATAAGGGTCACTGAGTTTGTGAGTTACAACTCAGCAATATTCCAGCTAAATGATGGCAGTCTTTAAGAACTTAGTCTGGACCAGAAAATCCAGTGATTGATATTAAGATCATAAATCTAGAGGTGAGGTGAGGTGAAATTGGGTTTAACGACGTGCTTGAGCATATTTCGCTCATATGACGAGGTGCATGCGTGTGTATGTGTATGTGCAGCTGCTTGTACTAGCCCAGACTGAAGATGGTTTCATAGTGCTAGCCCACCGAGATACCATGTCCCAGTGAAGCATGAATACCCCACTCAGACACATTATACTGACTCCGAGCCGACCAGTCCTTGTTGTACCCATTAATGCCAAGCACCAGACAGGGACCAACAAGTACCATATTTTAACGTCTTTTGGTATGACGCGGTTGGGGATCGAACCCGCGACCTTCCGCTCTCCGGGCGGACGCTCTAACCACTACACCACGGAGGCGGTCCCATAAATCTAGAGAATATACTGGGATAAGATGACATGCCTCAACCACGCCAGTTAGTCTGACTACCCCATTCAAGTTAGTTGCCTCTTACGACAAGCATGAAGACCAACTCTAACCCAGATCTTCATTGGTGACATTTGTTTGTTTGTTTGTTGTTTAATGCCGCACTTGGCAATTTTCCATCTATGTGAGCCTGACCACACAATCCTGTAAGTCACCTCTTAAGACAAGCATTGGTTGCTGAAGAACAATTCTAACCCCTTCATGTGTTCACAGGCAAGACAACTATGAGGCGAAGCAAGGGGAGGTAACTGCACCTACCATCTTGTTGATACTGATGAGCATGGGTCCCAGGGTGGGGCTCATGGGGAGGAAGACTGCGAGGGTGCGGTAGTAGAAGAGCAGCAGACCGATGCTCATGATGAACTTGGTGGTCATGTAGTCCACGTAGGGGAAGAAGTGCGGCAGGATGCGGAAGATGGGGAACATCAACATGAACAGCATGATGAGGATGATCTCCACTGTCTTCCAGAATATTGGCACTTCTGGATATTTCTGGAGAACAATACACAGCAATTCAGGACATTACTACCAAACCACATGTTGCACTGATACAGTGAGTTAGCTGGATCTTACATGGCTACAAACTCTATATGTCATCTACAGCCATAAAAATATGTCAGTTTTGAAACAATTTTGACTATTTGGTAATCCAATTTTGGCAAAGACCTAAGTGGATACTGGGGATTTGTGACATCCTCGTAAGGATGGGAATGCCACAGTAACTCTGTATGTATGTATATAATGATTCCATGATTCACCACAGCTGTGACTTGTTTCCTGATCTGTGACACACTGATAACATGACATCCAATATTAACTAAGTAAGGATCTAAGTCTTTGAAATTCTACAGAACAACTCATAGAATCCCCACCTCAACATGCATACGAGTGACCAGACAAGGAACCAAAGGCCTTTTTTACAATGGTAACATTCTTTATGAAACCATTCCGTTAAATACCAGGGTGGAGGTAGAGGGTATATATACAGAGCCGACACCTTAGGCACCAGGTCTTAGATTTTCAAAGCTCTTTTAGTGCTAAGATTGTCGTAAGTTAATGTTAATGTATGGCACTTATGACTATCTTAGCGCTAAGAGAGGTTCGGAAGACTAGGCCCAGTACATCATGGAGGTTACAAGTGGATGAGTTGAACAGTGCATCAGTTACATCATGGACCATTTACTAACACAAGGTCCATGACCTTTACTACTTAGTGAAACTCTTCCGCATGAGTCGGTCAGACAGACCAAGGACCATAACCAGGGATTCAAACCCATGACAAGCGGATCCCAGCAGCTAAGGGACATAACTGTGCAGTGAGTTGCAGTGCCACTGACCACTGGGCCACTCCAATCTCAGTGATGTGTGGACTGTAAAGTCAGTTACAGGTGCTCCATGGTTAGAGAGTTAAATCCAACTCACTTCATCGTTAGTCTATTAGCTGTGTCATCCATTGTATATTAATTCCAATCTGCTATGCTAAACACCCTGGACACATTCAGCACCTGGTGTCCTGGGACACCCCACAAGTGAGTCGATCACTGATTATATCGCTGCTTCTTTTGATAATGTAAGCTGATTGGATGTTATTTATAGCATTATTTGGACAGACAACAAATCAATGGTGGCCACTGAGTCCAGGGTGACAAACAGATGATTGAGGAGGATTAGCTGTTCAGACATATTTTCTTCACTACAAATGTATGGTGCCAAATCGGTGTGGCTTATATACTCCAATAAATACTTCACACATGATTTCATTGTGAACAA